AAGTCCCTGTGGGTACGATATCTGGACTTACAATCCTATATTACTTGTCGACCACGTATACTTGCGTGTGCGTTTTGGAGCAACAAGTTTTTGGCGAACTTAGAAATTAACTATTTTACTAGATTGGATTTTTTACTTTTTGCCTATTCAAGTTTTTATTTTTTATTTTTATTTTAGTTTAATATTTTATTATCTTTGTTGATATGGCATCTTGGAGTGATAATTGGTCGAATATTTGTTATTCTTATTATGGTGATCCTTGTCCATATTGTGGAGGACCACACTTTGGGCAAAATTGTGCATCTCAATCTGATGTGTGGAATTTTTGTAATGAGTGTGGTTGTCAAGGTGGCCATTGGGATGGTTGTCCTAATTCTTATTATCCTTCTCAGAGTTCTTATTATAATGTTTCTAATAATGTTTATGAGTTTGATAGGAACAATGAAGTGGAGGATATGGAAAGCATGGCTCGTATTATGGACATGATGAGGCAAGTAGTCGAGCAACATGAGATGATGATGAGGCAAGTAGCCGAGCAACAAGATGAAAATCGAAAGGCTTTACAAAGAATTAGTGAAGCAATCATGAGAATGATGGCTGAGGCGGAGGAAGTGGCTGAAGAGAGAGAGTTCCCACCAGAAGAAAATTTAGAAGAAGCAGATACAGTGAGCCAATCTTGGCTAGAGGAACAAGCTCAACTAATAAAATCTCATGAGTTTCTACGTGATGGTCTTTCAAATATGATAGAACAACTAATAGAAGGAAGAACTGAGCTCAGGCAAGAGATAGACCAATTTGGCTTAGATATCCATGACCTGCACGATCAATTGAATAAAAAGGTTGAGGCGTCTGATGCCCTACAACCAATTGTAGTGGATACTGGTCAACTTATGGAGCGGAAAGAGGAATTCCAACTATTCGACCAAAATATTATTAATGATGCCAAGGTTGACGAAGAGTGCGAAATTGAGGATGTCAAAAATAATACAATTTTGGAGTTAGAGCGTATTGGACCTCATTCTAAACATTTTTCAACATTGTGTTTGGTTGGTGACATGGGAATTGATCCATTCGAGCATATAGAGGAGTCAATGGATGAGGAACAAAGTGTTTATATTCTGAAATTTGTGATGCCAAGAAGACAAAACGACATTCCTCACATAAGGGCCAAGAAGTGCAAGATGCGATATCTATTGCTTGGTTCCTTTATTTTCACACTACCGCCTCAAGAACGTGACAGAAAAATTGATGCAAAATTGGGGGCGCAATTTATATCCTCAAAGTGGAAGGAAAAGTGGTGAAAGTGATGGCGTCGTGCCGCGACGTTAAATTAGGCGCTTCTTGGGAGGCAACCCAACTTTACTGCTTTCTTTTATTTATGTCTATTTTATTATTTTTATTATTTTTGTAGTGTTGTTTTATTTTGTAGGATTTTGAGCATAGGGAGCAAAGCCACAGGAAGTGTGCAAAAGTGAGCCATGTGGTTAGAACTTAGTGTGGGGTGCCCGCACAAAGGACTGTACCTGGGAGAAGTCTGAGTATCCCGTGAGCTGCTAATTCTTCGGCCTTTGGCCTACCAGGGAGTCTCTTTTACCTTCTTGCTATTTTTAGTGTGCATTGAGGACATTGCACAATTTTAAGTGTGGGGTGAGGAGATTGTTTGGGTGATTTTTTGTGCTATCTTAGCTTAGTTGTAGACTCGTTCTTAGTGTAGTTGTAGTACTCGTTCTTAGAGTAGTAGTTTTTCTTAAAAACAAAAAAAATTAGAAAAAGTTCGGACTTTTCCCGACGATGGATCTTTTGGATAATTTTCTTGAGGGATAAAAGTCCGATTAAAAATACCAAAAAGAATTTATTTTTTTTAGGATAGTTAGGTAGTATCCCTTGGTTTTTCTTTGGGCGCCGGTTCTTTTCCAAGGGTGTAGCTCGAACCGGGTACTTTATTTTTATTTTTATTTTTTTAGGAGTAGTTTAGGAAGAAACTGAGTCGCTCTGAGATACTCATTGACATGGTTGATGCTAGCACATTAGGCTATGACATACATTCTGTTTTCCCGTGTATTTGGTTTGAATTGTGAAGCCTAAGTAAAGTAAATAACCTATTTTGTGACGCCTTTTCTCAGTTGTTTGACTTGTATGCCACATAGTGCAATATTGCTTAAATTTCTCAATTATGTGTGCTTACTTGACTTGAGAGTTGAATAGAAACATCTTGATTGAGTCATGTGCAACGTGTGTGTGAGGGATTGTGATTCTCTATGCTATCCTGTGTAGTCTAGAACTTGCCCCGTGTGTTAATTGAAGCGAAATTGTAAGTGTGCTAATCTAGGAGATGACGTAGGCATTTTCTTGCTTGATCATGGATGTGTTTGTCACATAAAAATAAAATTTTCCGTTGCTAGCCCCTTTGAGCCTATAGACCTTTCTTTTGGCACCCACGTTACAAGCCATACCCCTATTTTGTTCTTAATTTGATATTGATTGAACCTTTACCTCCTAAGGCACTTAGTCGCTAAAAGAAGTAAGGTTAGAGATTGAGGAGTAGCTTTTGAGGGGAACCATGGAAGGGCCCGTTGGTGCACTAAAGTTGAAATCAAGGGTCACTAGCCGATGAACTTTATTGTATGGAGTGTGTGAAAAAGAAAAAAAAAGAGAAAGAAGAAGTCAAAGAAAAAAAATGATAGTGAAAGTATGTAGAAACATAAAACACCTCCAATTCTTATTGATTTGCGCTAGTGAAAAGTAAAGAAGTGCTTAATTAAAAAGAGGGCTATGTTGTGTATGGCAACTGATTTGGTTGAGAAGAATATGTGCTTGAATTGTGAATGTAGTGTATTAAAATGCTTAGGAGGGAGCCACTATTTCTAATTGTATCATACCCGTCCCTTAGCCTACATTACAACCTAAAAGTCCTAATTGATCCTAGATTTGGCTAGCTTAAATTAGTAGAGATATACACTACGGGCAAGCTTATAGTACGACCACGGGATGGATATGAACTCTTTGTGAGAGTGAGCGAATTTTGTTCAAATTGTGAGATGTCCTTAATCTATATTCAAAAGTATGTTTGAATGTGTGGACTATCTATATTCACTCTTTTGTTTATTGGTAAGAGCACATGATCTCATGAATGATTGGTGATGTTGTAAACTTTCTTATTGGGTAAGTGCATGAGTTGAGGGTGCTTAGTGGTTGCAAGTCGGCTCTTGAGGTTGGGTGGTGACAAATAGGTTGTTGGAATTGATTGAAGTGAAATATTATACTTGGGCATGCTTAGACGGGAATAATGTGAATTTTTGTGTGTTCATGCTTGTGTGCCGGTATTGATCATAGTCTAGGGTATAGTGTGTGGGTAAAAGATAAAGTACTCCTCTATCATTGATACTTGTACGTAGTTGGGGGGTTTATTAGATAGTCCCATTGCTCGAGGACGAGCAACATTTAAGTGTGGGGTGTTGATGATAGGCTATAATTACGTATTTTAGTCGATTATTACACTCAAATTTACTGCACTTTAATTGAGTTTGAGCTTTAATCGCTAGTGTCTTGCACTAACTGTGTTTTATGCCTTGTAGGAGTGATTCCGAGCTATAGAGATGTTATGGAATGAATTCAAGTGATTTGGAGCTTTGAAATCTGAGTAAAAGCCCAAGGATACAAGCCGGGATCGCGTTTGGGAGCCAACGAATGATAGTTAGAGCGAACGAAGAATCGAGTAGGCATATTGCGCACTGTCTAGTAAAATGGATATAACTTTTTGCTCAGAACTCCATATGGTCTCCACAATATATGGTTGGAAAGCTAACTCAAAGGGCTACAACTTTCATGTTTTACGTTTTTCCAAATTCCAAACGGAACAGGGTGAAAAGTGTGCGCCCAGATGCGCGATCGCGCTAGTTTTAGCGCGCCTAGGACAGAAAGTTGTCCAACTAGCGCGGCCATTAGCGCGCCCAGATGCGCGACCGCGCTAGTCAAACCCGGGAAAAATGTCCTTTTTCACATTGGAGAAGGTATAATTGTTTGGGCCCAACCCTACTTGGTATATATACATGGAAAAACGGTATTTTGAAGGAGGACGCCACTTTTGGTGATTTCTAACATACTTTGACGGAGAATTCACGTGGAGGAACACACACCACGCTTGGAGGAGCCTTCTAACTAGTTTTTCTTCTCTTCTCTTTTTTTAATCTCATAGTTTATTAGTTCTAGAGTTTTGGGTGCTACATGAACATTGTAGTTTGAAGCTTGAATTGTTCTTATTATTTTATCATATTGGTTTATTTATTCAATCTTGCGCTTAGTTATTTGATTGCTTGATCACCAATTGAATACTATCTACGAATCTAGGATTGAACTCGGGAAAGGGAATTCTAGATTGCATATAAGATTGAGTAGAGCAAGATCTTAACTCTTAGGGTGAGCGGATTTGCGGTTGGGATAGGAATATACCTAATCGTCTTGCTTGGTTATTATACGGGAATTATAAAGGCGTTCTTGTTAATCCTAATTCCATAGGAATATAGGCGTTAGGTTAGCTTGAATAGGCGAGTTGTACTTCGGGAGAAGGCTACGAGCAATATTAACCCTGTCAATCAATAAACCAGATAAATTAATTAGACGATTTAAGTGAAAAACTCAACGGGATTGTTAGCTAACCCATAGCTCTAGAATAATCACTCTCATTGAATTCGTCTCTATAATTCACCAACTTGTTTTCTTTAATCTCTTAGTTTACTACTCTAGATTAATTTTAGTTAAATATTCATACGTTAGGATTCGTTTGAATAGATTAATTGTTTGGTTTAATTTAGTTGATAGTTAATCACAAGTCCCTGTGGGTACGATATCTGGACTTACAATCCTATATTACTTGTCGACCACGTATACTTGCGTGTGCGTTTTGGAGCAACAATAGCAACATAAGGGTAGTACTTACAAAGAACATTATCTGCACATTAAAAGATGAATACACTTATCTGCACATTAAAAGATGAATATACCTGTTGCAGATACTCTTCAACAGTTGTTGCCTCCGCAGGGAAAACATCTTCAAATGTTGTCTGCTAAGGGAAGTGAACAGATGAATGGAAAGAAAATGAACACAAAGGTACAATCAGAGAAAACTGTCAAGGACATTTTTCTAACCCAATTTGTCACCAGAACTAATTTAGAATGTCAGTAGTAGAAAATGATCCTTTAGATTCTTATTCCCAAAAAAAAAAAGGAGAAACCCTCATTTTATTCTTATATTTCGATCTACTAATTTAAATTCCGATTTAGTACGCTATTACGATGATTTAACTCAGCCACATGCAGCAAAAGGATTATAGTCATGCGTAGTGCTCACATCCTTCTCATGGCCTATTTGTAAGCACAAAGAGGGGGACAAACAGTTGGCACAACTTAAAGTAAGACTCATATGTAAGACAAAGTACTCACATCTGATGTTGTTGGATAAACATTATCAATAACAAAACGTCTACCAAACCTTAGAAATTTTCATCCATTACCTCAAAATCATTCTATGTAATCAGCTTTTATATGTTCATAAATTCTCAAAGTGGATCACTATCAAATATAAGCAACTGAATAAATAACTTGCAAAGCTCAAAATGAGAAGAAAAACTGTACCTTCAACTCAAAAGACTTAAGATCACGAGCAAGCTGCTCTGCGTTGATGCCCTCACGAGCTAGTAGCCTTTCAGAACAAAGGAAACAAACAATCAAACAGTGCACAACCTACATTTCCATTAGTCTTAGTCTCCATATTTCCCACCACTAACCCCTCATCTATTGAAAATGTATGCAAAAGATTACGAGTATAAATAAAACTTCAAAAATGTTTTGAAAGAACAGGTGTGAGTATGAAACTAACCCTATGTTTGGAAAGTACGGAAAGGAGAAAGGAAGGGAAATAAGGAGATAAAGAGTAAGAGAAATAAGGTTTTATGGATGAATTTAACCTATGATAGCAGGTTAATAACTACTTTTACAAGGGTACCAATTAATGCTTATTAAGAGATTTACCTATAACTACTTGATAAGTGATCTGATTACCTAAAAACTCTTTACACCGACAGTGCACAGAACTTAAACTCTTTAATCAATATCTGAAGCTTTTTTACAAAATATTATATACAAAATTACCATAAGTTGCAACCTTACTGTACCAAAATTCCAAAAGAATAATGCTAGAATTCATAACTAAATATATCACTTTACAAAAAAAATGAGGATTTAAATTAAAACTAAGTATTAATAATGCATACATAAGAAGTAAATGTACCTGGTAGCAGCAATAGATTGAGAAGGAGCTTCGGTTCTTAGATTTTTGGCCTTCAATTTCTTCGTTAATGCTTCCAGTTGATCCAAATTCCTCTAAATATTCCAACAAAAAATTAAAAATAAAACATTACAGCTCTTAAACTATCAAAACTACGATAATCCCCACACATTTTCAAAACAAATGAAATTTCGAAATATATTACTCAGCATTTTAGACTAATCAAAGCTACAATGAAAAGTCAATTAACACATTTTCTCCTCCGTTAATAAACAAAACAAATAAATAATGAAATTTCGAAAGAAAAGAAAAAGGAGTGAAGAGTTTTATAAATGGAACCTGAAGAGGAGGGAACTGAGCAGAAGGAGCGGCTTGTTCTAGAAGCTTCGAAGAAGAGTGTAGAAGCTCACTCCATCCACTCATGTCTACATCGTTCGCCATTTTTTCTGCGCTGTGGCTACTGAACTTCGAGAGAGAGAGAGAGAGAGAGAGAGAACTGCCCTAATTTGAGCGGTAAAGTTTCTCCTTTTTCTTTAGTTATTCTCTGCAATCGGGTACACTGTAACATAATGACTGTTTTACCTCTACTGTATTTATAAAGCAGGTCGCCCTTTCTACACGCGACTTCTTGCCCCTACTAAAATCAGGTCGCCATTTCTACAGCGACCTTCGTTTTTGAAAAAGATTATTAAAAACCCAAAAAAAACATAAAAAGATCATCGATATTTTAAAATTTTAAAGTAACCGCAGCCTTAAATGGACTCCAAAAAAATTATTTTCCAATATTTTTACTGTTGTTATTGTTTTGAATATTGTATTTGGTCCTATGGTGTACTTAACATAACAAATTAGATGAATATTAATCAATATATCTGTCTACAATAAATTGTGCCCCATTTGCAAGCCGATATTCTATTTATTCGATTAATTTACAATTAATTATATCGTAGTCCCATATTTAATATTTCATTGATGTTAGGACTTCTGGAGTTACATTACAAAGTTTTAAATTTTGTTATTTTTATATACTAGTTACTACTTCATAATTAACTAGCCATATACAAGTAGCAAGAATAATACTAACTAGTATGTGTCAAGATTTAAATTATATGCGAAATAATAATATTAGCACATAAAAATATAATAACTTATGAAATATAGTTAATTAAGTAGGCTCACATATTTACCAAGCATTTGTGAAATTTCACAATTCGTATAAAATTTAATTTATAAATACTACTAATGTAAAAGATACTTGCAGGATCAAACCACTTAAAACATGATTAATTACAAAAGTGGTTATAATAAACACTAATTCGCAATCACAAAAAACAGCACCTAATTGTTGTGCTTAAGCTATTCAAATAGTGACAAATTTACTTAGCGTATATATCAAAATCTAATATGAAAATTATTAAGGATCTTTTGTTTTAAGTGAAACTTTTAGTAGTTTGCTTTATTATTAACATTAGAAAATATTTTGTAATCGACCCAGAAAAATGGATCAAACGAATAAACATGAATGCAATGTTACGATCCAAAATTCATTAAAGGTCGTGATGGCGTCGGACAACGATGTCAGGCAAGCCAACAATTAAATACTTAATTTAGGTCTCTTTTTAATATTGTTGAAATCATAGTATTACTTCAATTAGATAGTAGACGGTGAAAAAAATTCAGAGTAAATAATAATACTTTTCAAAATCTCAATATTGAATAACCCATAATCATCCCAGAACCCGATTTTTCAAGTGCATGAGCATCAACTAGGAAAAATAAAATAAAATATACATCATCTGTCCGGAATACAACATTGGACAAGAGAGAAAAATATAAATACTCTAAAGGAGACTCTACCGGCTGCGGATCGTAACATAAGATGCAGCTCGCCTAAGTCCCCGTATCAACCGCACCGCTGCACCCACAAGGCCCCTGGACATACATGTGCCTACACAACAAAATGTACAGCAAGTGTAGTATGAGTACGAAAACAACGCGTACCCAGTAAGTATCCAGTCTAACATCGAAGAAGTAGTGACGAGAGGTCGACTCTGACATTTACTACGGGCCAACAATAATATACCGATAATATACGTAATTGTGGATTTTATTAAACGGCTGCACTCTCAATAACATGAAGGAAGTAAGTAATTCTTTTGTAATTCAAGAAATCTCCAAATTTATTTATCATTATTTCACAATTTATCTCAGGCCACTGAGGCAACGTCATATATTTTAAATTTTCAAAGCAATCAATTCAATCATGTCGAGGTCGTACGGTCCGATCCAACATAATATTTAAATTGTGCACTGCCGAGGGTCGAACGACGCGAAACCATAAATGCATCTATTTAAATCTGCCGAGGCGTTCGGCCCGCTCCACAAAAAGATAAGCACTTTCAAACAACCAAATCAAGAATTTATTAAGGGGTTAATGTTCAAAGAAACATCAAATTCTCATTAACGGTCAAGTGGCCCGCCCTAAACTCAAGTAGGCGAAGTTTAACCTTTTGAATTTCTTTTAACAAGTTCCAATATGTTTTAAACAATTAAATTGACAAGTAGGATGCAAGCATCGCAAATATAACATGATTTGGGTCCTAGACTACCCGGACATAAGCATAATAGTAGCTACGCACGGATTCTTGTCACCTCGCGCGTACGTAGTCCCCACAATTAGAAGCACATATTGAATTATTTCACATGTGGGGTTAATTCCCTCTTACAAGGTTAGAAAGGAGACTTACCTTGCTCCGAAGTTTCATAGCCGGCTCCCAAGCCTTTCAAACAACTCAAATCGATGCCCGACGCTCCAAAACTAGTTAATAAATGGGCAATTACATAAATATCTACTCTAATATAATCATATTTACAACAATTTCCAATTCTGTTCGAAAAGTCGATAAAAATTACGATCGAGACCACGTGCCAGGATTCCGAAAACTTTCAAAGATAAACTTTACTCATAACACTACGAACTCGAATATATAATTTATTCCAAATTCCATGCCCAAATTCGTGGTCAAACTCTAAAAATACCAAATTATAGGTTTTCTACCAAAACCCACGCAATTTCTACAAATTTCCATGTTTAAATCCTTATACAAACCATGTATTTAACTTTTATTGAGTGAGAATCACTTACCTTGTGTTGCTTGATGAAAATCCCCCTTTGAAGCTCTCCAAAATCGCACCAACCAAGTGAAAATGGGAGAAAAATGGGCCAAGTCCCGTTTTATAAAAACCCTTCTGCCCAGCGACATTCCGCACCTGCGGACTCCTTGGCCGCTTCCGCGCATCCGCTTCTGCGACTTCTTCTTCGCACATGCGCCCCTCGCCGCTTCTGCGGCCACTGCCTTCGCACATGCGCGCTCGCAGGTGTGCCCAAACGTCAGCTCTCGGGACCTCAACCAATTATACAAACATGTCTCAAAACACATTACGAACTTAGTCGAGCCTTCAAATCACATCAAACAACGATAAAACCATGAATCGCAACCCAATTCAAGCTTAATGAACTTTAGAACTACAAACTTCTACATCCGATGCCGAAACTTATCAAATCACGTCCGATTGACCTCAAATCTTCCACACAAGTCACATTCGACATTACGTACCTACTCCATCTTCCGAAATCGAAATCCGACCCCGATATCAAAAAGTCCACTTCCGATAAAACTTCTCAAAAAACTTTAAATTTCTAACTTTCGCCAAAGACCCCAAAATGACCTACGGACCTCCGAATCCACTTTCGGATGCATTCCAAGTACCAGAATCACCATACGGAGATATTTCCCAACTCGGAATCCCAAACAGACACCGATAACATTGAAATGCACTTCCACCGAATTTATGAATTTCTTCCAAAATGCTAACTTCCACAATAGGCGCTGAAATGCTCCCGAGTCATCCAAAATCCGATCCGAACATGCTCCCAAGTCTGAAATTATCCTACGAACCTGTTGGAACCTTGAAATCCCGATACCGATGTCGTTTACTCAAAAATCCAACCTTAGTCATTCTTCCGACTTAAAGCTTCCGAAATGAGAATTTTCTTTCTAAATCAACTCCGAACTTCCCGAAATTCAATTCCGACCACGCGTACGAGTCATAATAGTCGAAGGGAAGCTGCCCATGTCCTTAAACCGTCGAACAACGCTATAGCTCAAAACGACCGGTCGGGTCGTTACATACAATGTGCGCGCTCGATTATGTTAATTTGGTTTTTTTTAAGAGTAGATACTTTTATTCAATACTACAAAACATTGTTACAATGATCCAAGGGATCATTACACATAGCGGAGATGCCGTCTACGGCATTCAGATTACCTAGCTTTGTAAGGGTTCTACACGTGCTTTCAAGCACTAATTTCCTACAAGAACCTCCATCCCTGTCCGCCAGCATCCTGGCCACGACAAAGGGTGGGGGTTAACAAAACATGTGAGCTTATTTATGGGGGTCTGCTTGGCAGCTTCCTTTGCCAGCAGGTCTGCTACTTCATTCCCTTTCCTGAAGTTATGCTGGACTACTAGTTCCTTCTCCTTCGCGGATATCAACCACCTGCAATTATATAAGAGAGAGCCTTAAGTTGAATGGCCATTTTCAAGTAGGTTTATTACATGTGTTGAGTCAGCTTCGGTTACGATTGGAAAAATATTTTTTCCTACGGCAAATTCCAAACTTTGATAAAGTGTTAGTAATTCTGCATGAATACAGGAAACAACTTGCACCTTCATGTTGAAACCCATAATTTCATGTTGAAGCCCATAATACAGTGTTTGTTATGATCACGTGTGAGCACGTGATTTTTGCCCTAAGTGAATTATTCCCAAAATTCAAACAAAATGATTTCTTTCATTATTTTGCAATTTTGTGACATTTTATGTTAATTATTTGCATTTTATTTGTGCATTTTAATTCATATGAAAAATATAAAAAATACACTTGACATTTGCATTTAGGATTTATTTTCATATTTTAGGATTAATTAGTTGTTAAGTTGCTTTAAAAACAAAACATAAAGAAAATAACAAAATAGTCCATTTTTGCATTTTAATTGTTAATTGGTGAATTTGTCATAGGACTTAATCAATTTTTAGGAATTAATGAGTTTAATTTTTGAAATAAATTAGGTCTTTATTTTAATAAAGTCGGAAAAATATAAAAATACAAAATGAGAATAAAATAAATACAAAATAAAAAATAAATAAAAATAAAAAAGAGAAAAGAAAACAGGCTGTCTTAGTTGGGCCACTTCTTCTTAATGCTGCTTAGCCCAAAGGCCCAAGCCAAAACCCCTTCACAGACCCGTCTCAACCCAAGCCCAAATGCACAACACCCGGTCCGAACCCCTTTCCCCATAAAACGATACCGTTTAGCCATTTTTTAATCAGGATCGTCGAGGTTAATCCAATCCAACGGTCCTGAAGCCCACCTAGATTAATATAAATATGTCCAAACGACCCTCACCCCCTCAGACCCCCCCTACCCGCTCATCTCTCAGACCCTCACCAGAAACCCTTAACGCCGCCGTCCTCCGCCGCCTGCC